TTCCTTTCAAATGTTACCTGAACATAAACAGAGGCTCTGAGATTGAATCACTACCTATGCGGTAGCCGGAAGACCTAAGGGCTTGAACTCTAATACACTGGACAGTCCGTCACCACCACTTAAGTTCAAGACTCAGTCCTCTGAGGTGTCCTGCATATTTCTCAGGTGCAGCGGTACTTGGAGTGTTCCTTATCTTGCACTTGTTACCTAAGGGCCTAACCTCAGGGCTAGGCACTCTGGTTATATACAACATAAGGCATGGGCTACAGATATGATTACATAGGATAAGTCAATAAAAGCATAAAAAATGCTATGGAAATATGCTTACATGCAGTGTAATAGCATGTGAAGGATTTGAAAGGAAAGAGTCAAAATAATTTTAACTAGAGATACCACTTTTAATTCAGGTTAGTAAAATTTTTTGAAATAAATTTTAAAATAGAGAATAGACTCTACATGGACTTTGTTACTATTAATTAAAACAGAGGCAGGTTCTTATCTGGCTAAACCAATAAAGTTTGAAGCAAAAATATGACTTTGTGTACAGTACCCGACAGAAGCAAACAGCTCATATGTGCCTTCAACTCCATGACGGATGTCCTTTTAGTACAAAAGATGTCACACTTCTCATCATATGACACCATTAACCTTTACCACCCTATTCAGAAGTTTCTTATACCCTCATCCACTGGTTAAGGAGGGGTAATGCCAGCCTCTAGGCTGTCCACTGCTGCTACCAAATCATTATTTACTTCCCCTCGGTAAAAAGTCCTTACTTTGAGGCTCATTTTCTACTATGCCAGAGGCTGATAATCGGCTGTCTTGGAGTCAAATTTGGCCTGCAGATACATGTTTTTATTTGGCCCATAGAGTTAAAAAAAAAAAAACAGTTTAAAAAAACTTTTTGCGAACATGTAAAAATTGGCATATAAAAATGTTACACCAAAAAAAAAAATCCAGATTTTCAGCTTTTCTTGAAAACTTAAGATACCTAGCAACAGTGGATATTCATTTCCTTAGGACAACAATCAGATGAAATAAAGTACACGCCTCTTCGGATGGAATATGTACTCTTCCAGTTTACTACTCTCCACACCTGGCTCACTTCGCTCATTTATATTACTTGCCTGGCCCCTCCCCGTGGGCCACTTGAGTTTGAGACCTTTACTTGGAAAATTATGTCACTGAAAAAAGAAACTGAAGAAGATTCAAATTGAAATATATACCGTGCTCGTGGATAGGAATAATTAACATCGTTAAATGTCCATAATACACAAAGCCATCTATAGATTCGCTGCAATCCCTATCAAAATACCAATGGCATTTTTCAGAGGACTAGAACAAATAATCGAAAAATATATGTAGAGTCTACAGCCATGCCACCCCAAACAAGCCCGATCCCATCTGATCTCGGAAGCTAAGCAGGGTCGGGCCTGGTTAGTACTTGGATGGGAGACCACCTAGGAAGACCAGGTGCTGTCGGCATAAAAAATAAAAAATAAGGGATTTAAGCTGACAAGGTCCTTGCAATCTGTGAGGTCAACCAAGGGTTGCCAAAAAGAAAGAAAAGAAAAGAAAAGAAAGGGAAAGGAAAGAAAGATGGCTGTAGAACCATAAATGATCCCCAAAAGCCATAGCAAAGAACAAAGTCAGAGGTATCACACTACTTGATATCAAACTATACTACAAGGCTAGTAATCAAAACAGCATGGTACTGGCGTAAAAGCAGACACATAGATCGATGGAACAGAATAGAGCCCAGAAATAAATCCCTGCCTCTATGGTCAGTTAATCTATGACACAGGAAGTAAGAATGTACAATAGGGTAAAGACAGTCTATTCAATAAATGGTGTTGGAAAAACTACACAGACACACGTAAAAAAAATGAAACTAGGCCACCTTTTAACACCATATACAAGGATAAACTAAAAATGGATTAAAGACTTAAATGTAAGACCCAAAACCATAAAAATCCTAGAAGGAACATAGGCAGCAAACTCTCTGACTTTGCTCTCTGGAATATTTTTTCTGATATTGCTCCTCAGACAAGGGAAACAAAAGGAAAAATAAACAAATGGGACTACATCAAACTAAAAAGTTTTGCACAGCAAAGGAAGCCATCGACAAAATGAGAAGACGACCCACTGAGTTTGAGAGAAGATATCTGCCTATGGTCCAACTGATAAGGGGTTAATATCCAAAATTTATGAAGAACTTATACAACTCAACAAAAAAACCAAATAACCCAATTAAAAAGTGGACAGACCTGAATAGGTATTTCTCCAAAGAGGACATACAGACGGCCAACAGACATATAAAAAGATGCTCAATGTCATTAATCATCAGAGAAATGCAAATTAAAACCACAATGAGATATCACCTCATACTTGTCAGAAAGGTTATCATCAATAAATCAACCAACAAGCGCTGGCGAGGATGTGGAGAAGAGGGAACCCTCGTGCACTGTTGGTGGGATTGCAAATGGGTGCAGCCACTATGGAAAACAGTTTGGAGGGTCCTCAAAAATTAAAAATAGAACTACCTTATAACCCAGCAATTCTAGTTCTAAGTATTTATCCAAAGAAATCTAAAACACTAATTGGAAAAGATATACACAGCCCTGTGGTCACTTCGGTATTATTTGCAACAGCCAAAATATGAAAGCAACCTAAGTGTCCATCAGCAGATGATTGGATGAAGAAGAGGTGGTGTATATATGCGATGGAATATCATTCAGCCATAAAAGATGAAACCTTACCATTTGCAATGACACGGATGGACCTAGAGGGTATTAGGCTAAGTGAAATAAGTCAGAGAAAGACAAACACCATATGATTTCACATCGTTGTGGAATCTAAAGAACAACATGAAGAAACAAACAAAAACAGACTCACGATACAGAGAACAAAGTGGTGATGGCCAGATGGGAGGGGGTTGGGAGGCTGGGTGAAAAAGGGGAAGGGATTAAGAAGTACAAATTGGCAGTTACAAAACAGTCGCGGGGAATACAGTCAGTAATGTTGCAATAACTGTGTGTTGCCAGGTGGGTACTAGACTAATTAGGTGATCACTTCATAAACTATATGTCTTACCACTATGCTGTACACCTGAAGCTAATATAAAACAAAAAATAATCAGGTTTGTGTTCCGCTTTTCTCACTTAAGACTGTGAGCATTTTTGTCATTAGTTTTTTAAAAAAAGAGCTTTCAACCTTTACATAGTAATCCATCCCACAGATGGCACAATAACTAAACGTTCCTTTTACATTAAGCATTCAGGTCATTTCTCATTAATACAAATAATATTATTATAGATGCCTTCATCTACATCTCTGACCAGAATAGAGTTTCATCCTATTACCATGTGCTAAGCACTAACATGCATCATTTTATCTGATCCTCACAACAGCCCTCTGAGGAGGACACTATACTACCCCTACCTTACAGATGGGAAAGCAGAAGCTGAGTTACGTACCCAGTCACACTGCTATTCAGCGGTGCGGCCAATATTCAAATTTGAGTCTACTGGACTACAAAATCTGTTCGCTTAACTATTTTTAAGTCTCTCAATGCTGCCAAAGAGCTTTCCAGAAACGTCTTACGATTTTATACTGCCAACAGCAATATGTGAGAGCACCTGCGTCACTGGCATTGCCTACTTCCATTAAAACAAAAACAGCTCATCTACTAGGTAAAAAAAAAAAAAACAACTGGTATCTCTTTGTCTCAATTTGCATTTCTTTGATTCCGAGGTGCCACTGAATATTTACATTCATTAGCTATTTAATGTTTGTCTTCTGTGATTTGCCCATCTGCCCTCTGCTTATTTTTTAATTAGCACCTTCTGGGTTTTTCTTATTGCCTTACATAAGCTCCTCGCAAATCCTCCCTTTATCTTAAGCCGGCCATGACCAGGCCCAGCGGCCTTTCTGTAACACTACTCCTTGCTTATCATCCGTTATAATCACTGGTAGACATCTGTGGGCCTGCCAACACTTTTATTACCAGAATTCTGGCCAATTAGCTTTAGGAGTTTTCAAAAGACGATAATGGATGGGTAACTGACCTGACCAAAGGCATTTCCACGCTCTCATTTCCGAAGAGCAAAACCCAACCCAGACAGAATGAAAGTGGAAAGCTCGCCTCCCACCACTTTCCCCTGTGAAACACGCCGGTTCCAGTGGAGTCCCGTTCCCGGAACTTGCTCTGCTCTTTCATTCCTCTGTGATGCTGAACATTCTGAGCTCTCTGCCCAGAATGTTAAATTGCATATCTGAAACTTACTGGACTTCATTAACCAACGTCATCAAAAAAAATAATAAATTAAGAAACTAATAATAACTTGATTTGATATTTGTAGCATCTATCAGTGCCGGCACATATTAGGTGCTCAGTCACCGTTTACTGAACGAGTGAGTCATTCGAGACTGAACTTTATTAGCTTGTTCATGCAGCCTTCCCCAACGCTCGGGAGAGGGCGCTACGCTTTCTCTTCTCCAGGGCGCCTTATGCACCCCTGCACTGCAGCCCTTCTCAACGAGCTATGTTTAACCGTACTTCTCTGTCCACTGGATCGTGAATGACACGAGGACAGTGACGGTGTCAATCCTGTCATTAGATTAAGTAGCTGGCATGGAGACTGGTATGTGTTATTCAAATGGTTCACATCCTAGAAAAAAGCTCCATGCTCTGAGGAAGCTCGCCATGGGGTACAGTCACACATCTCCCTAAGCTCCATCTAAGGACCTGGGGCACAGGGGAGGGTCCGCCTCTCGTGGAGAGCACTGATGGCTCAAAGCCCAAAGTAAGATCCATTGGACTGTTACTCTCGTCTCATTCTTCTGGGATTTCTAGAGTTTAAAAATTAAATGTACGTTGCTTTTACATCCTTAAGAGTTACTAACAAACTTTACAGGACACACACTCTAAAATGTGTGCCTGCTTTAGTGTCAGATAGATAGACTGATGGAAATAGAGAAAAACAAGAAGGCATACCCACCATTGTACTTAACACTGTTGGCCAGAATAAGGTTGACATCATCTAGAAAGCTCTCTCGACTCTGATACTTGTGCTTGGAGATATTCTGCGATTAAAAGAATCAGAGACTCAGATACACATACAAAGTTACTTGATTCCAAAAAGACATCTTCGATCAAATCACTCACCTTACGTATAGTCTCTAAATCCATTGGACTGACAATCACTTTGTAATAGTCTGGAACAAATTTCTTATTAACTGGGTGATGAAATGGCCAAGACTAGTAAAAAGAAAGCACGAGAAATTAAATGGAAACCATTCTTTATACTGGAGATTCTCAACTTTCACTGGACTGCAAATACTCCTAAGACTCCAACGAAAGCTAGAGACCCTTTTCCTACAAAGACGCATAATCACACAAAACTCTGTATAGATTTTAAGGAGTACAGGCTTCCTTCAAGGCTTCCTATGCCCTGACAGAGTAAGAATCCCTGCTCCATATTCACAATTAAAATTTCTTATTCCCTAGTCCCATCTAAAAGTTTCATAGCATGACATGCATACAATATATGCCTGCAACACAATAGGAAACAGCTCAGAATTCCTAGGCAGGAACGTTACAACAAAATGATACAAACAATCGACAAAGCAACTGTGTCATAAAGTTGCAAAACACAAAAAAAGAAACGAAAGACAACAAACACTGGGTAATTATCAAATTGTCATCTGTCAAGAAGCACCTCTAAATCCAAAGCTTCCCATTCACTGGCATACTAATTTCTCTTCGGGGCTATTCAGGAACATTCAAATACTGACTGTAAACAATAGGAAGAAAAAAAACCCTGTCTATATCCAGATTGCTGGCCTCTCTGATTTCAACGATAATGCTTTTAAAATTATATATGAGTCTGAATTGACAAACGCCACCCTCTAGACTCCCCAACATACATACACTCACACACTCCACTGTCCTTTCCCCTGCACTATTTTCACAATATTTAGCACAGAGACCACTTACATCTGGAACGGCCATCATTTTCTGGGTGACAATGTTATCGAGAATGAAAGAAAATGCCACTTGGTCATCATCATCCAGCAAGGGGTTGATAGCTTTTTCTAAACGAGCCAATTTATCTTCTTTCTGATGTGAAATGAAGCAAAGCAAAGGCAGAAGTTTCTCTGAGGTATGATCACCATAGAAAATTAAGGACATTCTAAGGTTTGGTTGCCTGTTGCCCTTGTCGACTATTTAGTTGCAGGCAAAAAGTCCAGATAAATGATAGTCCATTAAAAGGATCAAAAGGGATATACCAACCACTCCTTCAGGTAGTCTATATTCTGTTCTTGTAGGTCACCAAAAATATACATCTCTAGGCATCAAAATCTTAGCTTCCACAACAAAACACACCTTCACTAAGTGAGGTTTTAATATCATGTTGTTTTTGCTGTAAAACTATTGTTGGAAACACTGAACACACTACTGTTGATTAGTGACTTCTGTGTAAAGAAATCTAACCCAAGAAATTCATTTTAGATCATACCAGGAAAAAATTTTTGTGTTCCAAGTGCTCCATATCCTCACCAACATTTACTAGTGTCAATCTTCTTTGTACATCTTAGCCTTCCTGATTAGTGTGTATGGTTATCTAATTATGGTCCAAATTTGCATTTCCCCTATGATCAATCAGGTTGAGAATCTTTTCATGTTTACTGGCCATGTGATTATCCTCCTTTATAAAGTGTCTCCTTCAATATTAACATTTTTATACTTGCATTTTTGTAAGCTCATAAGGTTTCCATATTCTTTTGGTAACAACATAGAATACAGATAGATAATCTTTTAAAACTTACAATTCCTCCCTGCCAAAACTGTCTCTCAGCTCCAGACACTCCCTGGGAAGTCACTTTCCTTGGCCCTTTCTAAAGAGTTATGCAGGTTCTAGATTCTAATCCTAGCTCCACTGTTTAATATTCATGATGCCCAAGGCAAGTCATTCTCTTCTATGGACCTCAGTTTTTCCATCTACAAGAAAAGGGAATTGGACTAACTATATGACCTGTAAGGTCCCTTCCAGACTAACATACTCAAGATCTGCTACTTCCACATTTCTCCACTCTTCGTTCTGTTATATTCCCTACTTCCTCAACCTTGCTACCCACCACCTTCAAATTCTACTGCCCGTCTCTCATTTTAAATGTCTTACCTCTTTGAGTTTTTCATCACAGAGATCCAGCATTGATTGAGAAATCTGGGTCAGTGAGTGCTTTGGCCCTAAATTATAAAAAGAATAAGAGATGACACTGTCAAAAATGAGAAGCAAGAGCTACTAACACTTCTCCAGACTTTTAGCACATTTACTTAAGCACCAAATATGTGCCAGGAACCAACATAGCTGCTGGGTTAGATAGATATACCAGTCTTATCTCCCATTTTTTTAGTGCCTAACACACAGCAGATACATAACGCAGATGACTGAATTATTTTTAACTTTATTTGTGTATATCCAGACCCGAGTACTACTAATGTCTTGAAAATGATACTACGGACGGAGAATAACAAATCATTTCAGGATGGCTAAGGAGATAAATGCATGATTTATAATCTTTCCATATTTAGTATCTAGAATTTGTGACTGCAATTTCTGTCTGTAGAACTCATGGTTTGTGATATCCTCCCAACACATGACTGATCCAAAACCTCTGTCATAAAAGAATCTCCATCCCACCTCAGACTGTTGTTAAGTGTCCCTGAAATCCAGAACAAGAGCTTCAGAAAATCCTCCAACTATTTTCTACACGCACTGCTTATGGCTGCCCTAATGTAAGCTCATCAGGATAGTTAAAACATTTTCATCTAGACAGTAATTCTGACTACTTTCAGTAGTCTTTGCTTGTTTCTCTTCCTCTGCCTATCCTTTCACGTAAGCGTTCCCCAAAGCTTAAACCTCAGCTCTGTTCTCAAGTACTCATCTGGCATTTGCTTGTTTATTCATTCAACAAATGTTTAACGACTGTCTGTGATGTGTTCAATGATGAGAACGGGAGAATAAGACACAGTTCCTACTTTAGACAGTTCTTGGTTTAGTCAGAAAGAATGACATGAAAATAAATCACTGTAAGACAGACGTGTAAGTACTTGAAGTATCTATGGATAAATGATACGATGTCTGGAAATGCAGACTGAACAATAAACGAGAGCAGCCACGAGCCGGCAATCGTTGAACTGGGTGGATAGGCGCACTGAGGTTTATTTACTCCCCTCTCCACCTTTGCATATGTCTGACGATTCCCCTAAGAAAGTTTTTAAAAAACTGAGTATAAGCGCAAATAAAAGAATGTACTGGTTGCTACAAAATATGGCAGGATTGCATATACGATATGTTATAAGCTGTTTTACAACAATTAAATCTATGTACTGGGGAGGAGTAGGGAAGACTTGCTGTGACTGATGTTCGAGCAGCATCGTGAATGAAAGCAGAAGTCCATTAGGTAGACAATAAAACAGAAAAATAGTCCAGAGGGAGGGGAAAGTGTGCAGACACGGAAGCAAGCAAGTTCATGGAAACGTAAGCAGCACATTCCATGACAGGAAGCTGAGTAGTTTGATACAACTGGAATACAGGTCCGTGTGGAGGGGAAACAGGAAACGGAACTTGGAAACGCAGGAAGGGCCACGTGGCAAAGGTCTCATAGGTGATAGAAAGCCACTGAAGATTTAAGTTGGAGGATAATTTTTCAAACTTGTGTTTTAGGAAAAAATACCCTGTCAACAGTGTGAAGAATTAAGGCAAGCAGCAGAGGAAAAGTTTAGAAGTTGTCACAAGAGGTCAAACAAGAAGTGACAAGGGCTTCAACTGAGATAGTATCAGTGGAGACTGAAAGGGAGGGACACGTTCCAGCAAAAGTTAGAAAGTACAATTTATGGGACTTCATGCCGGAGTGTAG